TTGAACACTCGGGCCATGTCCTCAGTTTTGCTTTTGCTATCTTTGAATTGGGTCTTGATCTTTGCATGGCAAGTCATCAACCGTGAGAGAAAGAATTGATAAATAAGACTTCATTAAAATTAAAAGTTCTAACATTGAAACAAGGACACAGGATGACCCAGTGCAACAATAATACCCACAAGACAGCATATTGGAAATGGACTTTACAACTTTGGGGTGGGGGAGGTAGGACAGGGAAAGGATAGTGGGGGAACAATAAAGGAGGAGGTAACAATGCTCAACATGAAATTTACTCATTACCTTACTCATATACCTAACCCCTCTGTATAGCATCTTTACAATAAAATAAAATTTAAAAAAAATTAGAAGTTCTTCTCTGTAAAAGCCAATGTTAAGAGAAGGAGAAGTCAAACCGCAGACTTGAGAAAATATTTGCCAATAATGAACTGTCATTAATAATGTACAAAGAACTCTTAAAATGCAACAATAAGTACATAAAACAACCTAATTGTAAAATGAGCTAGGTTTTTTCATTTGTTTTTGTTTTTGCTAGTCCTTGGTCTTAAACTCTGGGCTGGACACTGGGCTTCTTTGTACTCAAGGCTAGTGCTCTATCACTTGAGCCACAGCTTCACTTTCAGCTTTTACTGAATAGTTTATTGGAGATGAGAGTTTCATAGAGTTTCCTATCTGGGCTGGCTTTAGACTGAGATCCTTAACTACTCAGTCTCCTGATAGCTAGGATTACAGGCATGAGCCACCAGAGTCCAGCAAAATAAGCTAGTTTTTAAAAAGCACCTCACTGAACAAAGTAACTGTTGACAATTTAGCATATGCTGACTTGTAGATGCTCCATGCCATAGGTCATCAGAGAATTAAAATGACAATGAGATATCACCACATAGTGTTTGTTACAATGTCCAAAATTCAGAGCTCTGACAGCATAAAATGTTAGACACAAGCTCTCTCCTGCATGGCTGGATGAGCACAATGTGTCACAGCCACATTGGAAAACAACTTGGCAGTATCTTTCAAACCTAAGCATACTTGTTCCAGACAGCCCAACAACCACAGCCCTCCCAAATGAGGTGAAAAAATGAATCGCACAAAAACCTACATGCTGATGTGGGTTTTTTAAGCAGCTTTATTCTAATTGCCAAAAACCTGAAGGCACAAAATGTCCTTTGGTAGGTAAATGGATACATAAATCAGTACATCAAGACAATGGAGTATTATGAAGCACTATAAAATGAGTTATCATGCTATGACAGGGCATGAATATTACTAAATGAGAGAAGTCAATCTGAAAAGTCTACAAACCATGAGAGTCTAACTTTTACAGAAGATGGTAAAAGCATGAATGACACTCAGAGCCAGAAGAAGGAGGGATGAATAGATTGAGTATAGTAGACTTTAGGATGAGACTATATGTTGCTATTATAAGGCTATAATGGTTGATATATGTTCAAATGTATACATGCATTTTTTCCCAAAAACACACAATAGGTAAAACAACAAGACTGAATTCTGATCCAAATTATCGACTTTGGATAGTAATGGTACGCTACTGTAGTACATTCATCAGTTAAAATGGATATAACTAAGCTGGGTGCTGGTGACTCACACATTGTAGTCCTAGCTATTCAGGAACCTGAGATCTGAGGATTGAGGTTCAAATCTGAGCCAGCATAGATGAATCTGTGAGACTCTTATCTTTACTTACACAGCAAACCAAAACAGAAGCGGATGTGTGGCTCAAGTGGTAGAGTACCAGTCTTGAGTGGAAAAACCAGCAAGAACACAAAGCCCTGAGTTCAAACTCCAGTACTGGCACACACACAAAAGATACCTCCTATTAGGTGTTGTTGATTGCTTTTGAGTGCTGGAATCTCTTCACATATTTACAATACACGACACTTGTTCATGGTATGTAATTGTCTATATATCGGTAGAATTCAATCTGATACATTTCATTGAACATTTCTGTGACTATATAAAAAAGTTTTAGGTTGTAGCTCTTCTTTCTGGAAATGTCACTATCTAGTTTTGGTGTAGTGACACTGTAGAGAATGAGTCATTGCTCCTTCTGCTTCTGTGAGATTATGAACATTTAGTACAGTTGAATGCCAGAACTGCCTGTAATCCTAGCTACTCAGAAAGCTGAGGTGAGGTCTGACGATTGAAGTTTGGAGCCATTCCAGGCAGACAAATCTGAAAAATTCTTATCTCAAACCATCAGAAAAGAAAACAGAATTGGAAGTGTGGCCCAAGTAGTAGAGTGCCAGCCTTGATTGACAAAGCTGAGTCAAAGTTCAGAGCCCTGAATTCAAACTGTAATACCAGCATGAATGTACACCCCCACACACACGCACGCACAGTTTGGTACAACTTCATTTAAAAAATGTTGATTTTTTTAACAATAAAATATAACCCGTTGCTTAGTTTTAGAGTTATGTAGAGTTTAGACTTAATATGCTCAATAGCTCTATGGACATTCTAACAACTGATTTATTCTGGTGTGAAATGGGTATTTTGTGCCTTCTAGAATATAGCCTGTTTAATCTAAGCTATCAAATTTTGACATCTAGTTCTTTGTTATATCTCTATAATATTTTTACATTCATGGACTATAAAATTTTAATTTTTTTCTTTTTATATAAATTCTTTTATTGTAAAGATACTGTACAGAGGGGTTACAGTTACATGAGTAAGGTAATGAGTACATTTCCTATTGAGTATTTTTACCCCTCCTTTGTTTTTCCCCTACCATCACTTTCTTCCCCACCTCCCCAACTCCTCTTACCCCCTCTCTCCCCAAAGTTGTAAAGTTTGTTTTCAACATGCTGTCTTGTACATCTCATTGTTACAATGGGTCAACCTGTATCCTTGTCTCACCATTTTGTTATTTCCCTTACCCTCCCCAAATTAGAAAAATGTATATACAAGATGAAGGGTACTGGAATCAAATACAGTGAAAACAGGGATTATACCTATAGGAAGAACCTATAGTAAATAATGCTGGGAAGGTGGCTCAGTGGTAGAGTGCTTGCCTTGCATGCCTGAGGCCCTGGGTTTAATTCCTCAGCACCACATAAGCAAAAAGGAAAAAGCTATAAGTAGTGCTGTGGCTCAAGTGGTAGAGTGCTAGCCTTGAGCTGAAGAGCTGAGGGACAGCACCCAGGCCCAGAGTTCAGGCCCCCCGACCAGACCCCAAAATTTTTTTTAATTTTATGTACACCCATATATTATTAACTTCCTTTTGATGTTTTGCTGAACAATATTCCTTTTACTTGACAATATTCCTTTGTATTCTTTCTCATAGAAACATCTACGTGGAAAAGGTGTTTAGATTTCAGAATCAGTCTTTATACGGACCTTTCTGTAGTCTTTATCAGAACCTTATTTAGGTTCTGCTACCAGAGAAGCTCTGGGAAGAACCATATTGCCTGGGAGCAATGAAATGTGAATACAGAAGATAATAACACAGAAAGATCCAGAAGTACCAGTCATATCCTATGAGACGAGAATCTGAGAGTTTATTTACTTTTTGTGACAATCTAAGAGTTAGTATTTTGTGTGTGGGGGGGGGAGAATTGGAAAGTTAGGATGATAAAAGTCACTAGCAAGCTTAGGAGAGTCAAAGCTAGCTGATTTATCCCAACCTTTATTCTGGATTTTCACTCAACCATTTCCTAGACATTAAAGCAGAACAAATCATTCCTGAGAGAGGAATAGAATTATCCTTTCTGATCAATAACCTGGAGAGTAAGGTTTTTTTGAGTCTCTATGATGTACTGAGAGTAAAAGAAGGAAAGAATATTCTGCTACTTGTTCCCACATGAAGAAATAAGAGTTTGAGTATTACCTAAGTATTTGGGTCCTTAATATGACCAACGTCAATGGCTCCAAGTTTTCTGGGTTGTGGAGAATGTTGAGTTGAGATACACACCCCCATCCACACACCTTTCTGGGTTCATAAATTTCCTTAGGACATTTCTAGAAGTGTAGCTCCAGTTCGAAAGCTATTCATGGCTACTGTTACCTGACATCAGGCAGGCTTCTTGGTCATGAGGGAATACATGATTATACAACTAATATTTCACATTCTGGTCACATGACTTGTAATTAACCAAGGATATGATTCCCAAATTGAACATAATGGTCTAGCTCTGACATAAGAGACAAAAGGTCTTAGAGCTCACATGAGAGGGAATACACTATTAATTACAAGTATGGAAAGTTAAAACAGAATTTCTACTAATGGTGAGCCAGATTCCTCCATTTGCTTGGTAAGAATCTAGCTGGAATTGATCTGGGCAGGCATCCTGAGCATCGGGATAGCAAACTGCTACTTACTAACTGTCTCTAAAGGAGAAAAGCAAAGCTCATAGAATGTGAAAAGGACTTTTCAGAAACCACTTCTATGAAAAAAGTTAAGAACCCTTGAAACTAAAGAAAGGCAACAATGAGAGGTGAATTACATTATAAATCTGCTTTATTGAGCAATTACAAGAAAGCAAAGCAAAGAGACAACATCATAAAGAGAGAGGTTCTAAGTCACAGGACTCATCGAAGTGCAATCACAGCTATCACCAAGGTGGTTCACAGGAGTGTCCCATGGGCATTTTTGGGGCCACTGGGAATTATAGAGGAGCTGCCTTGTTCTGGAGTAAGACCCAAAGAGGGATTTCTAGAATAAACTGGGCAGAGATCCTTTTTCTCATCAGGCTTGGCCTCAGAGATAGAACAAATGAAGCAAGACCTTGATGACTTAGGAATGAAGTGAGCACCACATGTACATGAATTGTGATGTTTAGTTAGAGGTTGACATTTTACAGGTTAGCCATGAGGTCTGACAGAGGAACACCAAGGGCCTGTGGCATCCTCAGCTCCAACTAGAGAGCAGGGGCAGGAGAACAGAGAAGGACAAGCACCTGAGCATAAGGGCTTTGCAGCCAGAGGTAAGGAGAGCATCCAGGGACCACATCCAGTGGTAGACTTTAGTGCCGGTAGCTCTTCCTGCTGGAGGAGGTGGTAGTGTATTTGATGGTAGAGGTGCTGCCCCCAGAGGTGCTCAGGCTGCTCCCAATGCCTCTGCCACTGCTGGAACTGAAGCCACCTCCAAGGTTGTGACCACTGCTGTAGGAGTAGCTGCCACTTCCGCCTAGGCCTAAGCCACTGCTGGCACCACCGGCACTGCCATAGCCACTGGAGATGGTGGACTGCATCACGGCTGTGGGTAGGATACAAGGAGACGACACACACAGTGAGCTCCCTGTGCCAGACCAAGCCAGCTCACAAGGGCTGAGACAGGAAGACACACAACTCGATACTTACAGATGTTGACTGGTCCCACGCCTTCACCGCTCAACCTGGAGGAAGAATAGAGAAGTGAGACCCAGGGAGTTGTCACCAGCATTCTGTGGGATGTCCTGACCCTTTCCATATCTGTAATGGCTCTAACCAGTGTCCTGTAACTTTATGCTCAGTGCTTGACATCCTGAAGGTATCCTCAGAGTTTACGAGCCATGTGTGGTGGTACCCACCTGCACTCCTCGCCTTCCAGCAGCTTCCTGTAGGTGGCAATCTCCACGTCCAAGGCCAGCTTGACATTCATGAGCTCTTGGTACTCCTTCAGCAGCCTGGCCATGTCCTGCTTGGCCTTCTGCAAGGCATCCTCCAGACCTTCCAGCTTGCTCCTGGCATCCTTGAGGGCCAGCTCACCTCGCTGCTCAGCATCAGCAATGGCAGCCTGCAGGTTGGCACACTAGGAGGGGAAAACAAGCGCAATGAACTTAATAGTCTAAACTTCTCACAGAAGAGTAGCCTTGCTTCTTCTTTCCCATTGAGGAAAAGTCCTAGAACCCACAATTTAGAGGCTATCATCCTTCCTGGCCAATGTCTTTGTAGTCTGAAATTTGGTCTAGTCTTGTAAATCATGCCTTTACTCTTTGGGTTCACCATCCACATGCTGATCTAGATGATAGAGGTGGTAGATGTAATAATGTATTTAAGGCCAGGGGTATTGGGTGAACTGGATCTCACCAGTTGTTTAAACTGCTTTCTCCAAAGACATCCAAGGAGCATTTTGAGATCCAGACTTGGTTATACAAATGATCAAGTCTTCACATGAATTTCTTGGGCCTTAAACCCATTGGTGAAGCTCTAAGAATGTGGGCTATACTGCTCTTACTCTCTTTCACCTGAGATTCTGAGCAAATTCGTAGCACTGTTATGCATGCTTTCATGTTTCTGTTTCCCATCCTGTCTGTGCAATTCAGAAGTCAAGCAATTTTCTTACATACACATTCCATAAAACATTGATCATTGCAGCTGGTTCTGTCACTATTCATCGATCATGATTATGTCTTTTAACCAGTGGGTACCTCCTCTCTGAAGCTTCACTAATCCCTGGGAAACTCCCCCAAGTGATAGTTGATGACTGAATACTAGATGGCCTCACAAGAACAGAAGGTTTTCTTCATCACTGTCCCCAGCCTACCTGCTTCTTGACGTGGTCGATCTCAGACCTCAGCCTCTGGATCATGCGGTTGATCTCAGCAATCTCCTGCTTGGTGTTGCGCAGGTCATCCCCATGTCTGCCTGCTGTGATCTGCAGCTCCTCGTACTTGAAAAAGAGAGAAAACCCTACGTGATCACGTACTTGCAAAGGAGGAGTTTTACTTTAGAATCAGTCATCTAATACTATTAACCTAAGGGGTTTTTTTCTCTCATGATATATTTTAGGAAAATCTGATGCCACATGACCTTTGGTTGAACAGAAGTCTGCAGACCATCCTAACTAAGACTGTGGCAATGTGCTAGGGACTGGCAGTGTCTGTGCTGTCTACTGAGAGCTAGCAGGCAGGGTGAGGTTTAAAGAAAAGATGCCTAGATTGTTATTTCTATTAGTTTTTCTCCTGCTTCTGGGCTCTATGCATTCGAGATGTAGACACAACTCTATGTAAATGATAATCAGCACTAACAACTAGGAGCAAATCTACTTTAAAGTAAACTCTTTAAGGTAAACTCATAATAGTGAATATTTATTTTATGAAGGAAAACCACAGATTTCTTTCAATAGATTCTTCTTTCCTCCCATATTCAGTTAATCAATGAAGGCAGATCTTTCCATTATTCAATGTGAGGGACACAGGGATACCTGACATCTGCCACCTCCCTGCTCACCTTGGTCTGGTACCAGGACTCAGCCTCAGCACGGCTCCTCTGAGCAATCTCTTCATATTGGGCTTTCACCTCTGCAATGATGCTGTCCAGGTCCAGGCTACGGTTGTTGTCCATGGACAGGACCACAGAAGTGTCTGAGATGTGGGTTTGCATCTGAGACAGCTCCTGAAGAACACAGGGAGCAAAGGTCAACCCTGTCTGTGAAGAACCAGAGCTTCCCAGCTCCCAGCTCTTCCCACTGTGCAGAGTGCATAAAGGAGAGGGGGGAAGCTTACAGCATCATAGAAGGCTCTCAGGAAGTTGATCTCATCCCTGAGACTGTCTGCCCTGGCTTGCAGCTCCACCTTATTCATGTAGGCAGCATCCACGTCCTAGAGACAGAACCCATCAACAAGGGAGGAGTCAGCTGAGCTCCCATCTCCATCTCCCTGCCCATCTTCCTGTAGGATGGGCCAGAGAGACAGAGCCATGGCTCTCCTTCACCAGAGAACTGGAAGCTCTCAGTCGATCATCTCACCTTCTTCAGGGTCACAAATTCATTCTCTGCTGCTGTGCGTTTGTTGATTTCATCTTCATATCTAGGAGAAGAAGGGATTAACACATTTCAGTCAGCATTTGCATGAAATCAAAGCAACCTGTAATCCCACACTTCTCGTGAATCCAAGTGTCCAAATCCACAGATGATTTTACTCATGCTTCATTTTCCACTTTTTGTTTCCCCCTATCCATCCACACCCTCCTCCTGGAAATCTACACCTTGAGCAGATTTACTGTTAGTGCTGATTATTATTTGCCTAGGCATGATTGCCCAGGAATTATGCCCTCATGAACCCCCATTAGTGTTCACCTGGTGCTTTATAAATGTGAGCCTATTTCTCTTCTTCAACTCACTTTCTCTTGTAGTCCTCCACCATGTCCTGCATGCCTCTCAGCTCAGAGTCCAGGCGGCCTCGCTCCCCAGTGATGGAGTCCAGCTGCCTTCTGAGGTTGTTGATGTACTGCTCGAACAAAGGCTCCAGGTTGTGCCTCACAGTCTTGGTGCC